GGATACCCAGGGACATTAAAAGAGGAGGTGTACATGTGTTTATGTTTATGTGTGTGCGGGTCAAAGACGCAGGTTTGTCATAATTAATTTAGATCAGTGTTAGGTTTGTTGACTAGTACTTGTAACGTAATAGTATTTCTCCTATTCTAAGACGAAAACTAAAAGTTGTAGGCTTATTATTATACTGATAAATCTGATGCAGTCACAAGGGTGGACTCTGAACACTTCTTTAGTACCTGTCGGTGGGTGTTTCTGGTCCTGGTGGAGTAGAGGTTGAGGCAGAGCGGGGAGGAAGCGGTGGTTTTTCGTCCTCGCCGTCTAACAGTGACAGGGGAAAAAAAAAAAAAAAAAAGAGACCCTGTGACGAAGAGAGGTCACTGACAGGACTTGAGTGTGACCATTAATAAACGCCAGAATACCTGAATAGTCTCTGTCATCGCTGACAGCTGTTTCCTCTCTGTCCACGGCGAAGAGCAGGGTGGTGACCAGTCCCTGACTGGGCTGCAGGTACAACGACACCAACTCTGGCAATGTTTTAAACCGTTTAGGCTGCACACCCTGGGATGTCTGCATGTGGAAAGGGGGGGGGGGAGATATGAAAGCACAAGATTTATAGCCTGCGTGTCATGGATATAACAAATGCCTTTAATCTCACGTGCGCGGCTGCACGCAGTCACCTCGCTACAATCTCCAGTGGCCCCTATTGTTCTTCGTCTAGTGTTATATAAGCAAATACGAAATCCATTGTCTAAACAAAAATCAACCCAGGAACAACTGTTGGCGTAAACACGACCTACTTCAGTGAAATGTGATTTTTTTTTTAACCTGTGGTCACATGGAAACACAGTCAGCCTGCAGCAGCAGCAGCAGCAGCAGCAGCAGCAGCAGCAGCAGCAGCAGCAGCAGCAGCAGCAGCAGCAGCAGCAGCAGCAGCAGCAGCAGCAGCAGCAGCAGCAGCAGCAGCAGCAGCAGCAGCAGCAGCAGCAGCAGCAGCAGCAGCAGCAGCAGCAGCAGCAGCAGCAGCAGCAGCAGCAGCAGCAGCAGCAGCAGCAGCAGCATACTGTCATGAGGCTGAAGTGAGTCTAGGGTTGGACAGAGAGAGGTTGTGCGTGTGTATGTGTTGTTAAGAGTGGCTGCGGATGTCACAGCTGTTGGGCACGGGGCACAAAAAGGCTACTTGTGTGTGTGTGTGTGTGTGTGTGTGTGAATGTGTGGGTGGGACAGAGAGAAACAGAGGGGCAGAAACAGCAAAAGCATCAGTGTCTGCCAGCTGCTACTGCTGCACACATGGCCACACTCAACCTCAGTGGATAGTTGGTCAATAAATAAATACATTCAGGTGAGAGTGTTTCTTTTTTTACCTGTACGGCCAGAAATCCTTCATCATCGGGTAGGATTCGGTACGTGTGGACGTGCTTCTGAAATCTGCAGGGAGGAGCCGAAATCAGGTTAAAAAAAAACAACCAAAAAAAAAAAAAAAACGAAGCAAAACCATGATGCAGTGGAAACGAGACTGAAATGGTTTCACGTTAAGTAACGCTTTTGTTCTTGACCTCAGCGGACCAGTGGCTCTGTGTATGTAACGCATGTACACGTATGTACAGTATGAGAGAGTACTGCAGTTCAGACATTGTGGAGGCCTTCAACCTGTTGCTGTCTATCACGGTGCTTAGCAGGCTTCAAACCGCATCCAGTGGAGCAGAACAAAGCAGAAATACACTGTTTGTAAATCATTAAGCGAAAGCACAACAATTTCCTCACTCTTCATTGACCTGGACCAGGAACTTTACTATTCATTTTTATTGCAAGACAACATTAAACAATTGAGCGGGATGGTACACTAAAAGTATATCTGTTGAACAATAACAGATCCACGTTCTGACAACGTGATTTGACTCGGAGCCTGCGATAGCAGTTTAATGATTTTTCTAGTCTGCACTGACTAGAGTGTCTGTCTGCCTGCTCAGTGGACCAGACACAATATGTCCAATTTGCCTGGCAAACACTGTGGAGTATGGCTGTGGGTGAGAGAGATTGCAAACGCCGCGCATCTCTTGAATTGCGTGGGCGTTAAAATGGCAGCCTATGCAAAACCCTGCTGTGCGGCCTGTTCCTGTGCTCATTTTCAGGATGTACACGACTGTGTGTTTGTGTGCGTGACGTTATAAGAAGGGAGAAAAGGATGAATCCATATCAGGAATTCACTCGGCCCCCGGCCCATGAACTGTTTTTCCCTGGGCTTTTTATGTTTGCATCCAACAGGAACTCAGACATGAACATGAAGTGTTGAAACAATAAACAACAAGGGATCACGATGGTGCAGTGTTTGACAATACTCTCTCACCTCTCCCACTTTCTGTGGAAACCTGTGCAGTTACTCTACATCTGTTGGGGCAACACTTGCGTGAGAGCATTACAAAATTTTGAAATGAAGTATGTGTTAAGGACCACTATTTCTATATAAATTAAAGTATGTTATGATCATGCGATGTTTTATATTTGAAACGTTTACATTTATTTTTTTTGTTTTTGCCCCTTTTTTGTCCAACTTACTTCTCACCTCACATGTGCGTCCTTCTAATTCTGCTATCCTTTTTTGTCCAACTTACTTCTCACCTATGTGCGTCCTTCTAATTCTGCTAGGTGTGTCCTTCCTGATCTCCTATGTCCGTCCATCTTATTTACCCATGTCTGTACTTCCTCCGAAATGCTGTTATCTGTACCAAAATCTTGGTCTTGAATTTTGCTTTTTTTTTGTTCTGCTCCCCCTGCCCTGATCATTATACTGATAATTACACCTTTAACTGATATAAAAATGTATCAGACTTGTCTAACACCCTCACTGAGATAAACAGTTTCTCTTTGTCTCCGTTGTTCTAGTTGGTCTAAATCTGTATTTATTACTGACATACTTTATACACGGACCATTGTGTAGCAGCAGTAGTATGACAAGTATACACTCTGAAGCATTGTTTATATGCGTGTATATATGTGTGTCTGTGTGGGTGTGTGTATGTGTCTTCCTGAAAGGCTGTCTCTGGATCTGGGAAGTAAATACTATTGTTTCTGTATTAGCAAAGTATTAACAAGGCAGAGAAAGAGAGCAAAAGTGTTGGAGACTCCTGTTAAAGTGTACTACAAAGTATTAACAAGGCAGAGAAAGAGATCAAAAGTGTTGGAGACTCCTGTTTAGATGACAAGTCACATTTTCACGCTTCACAAACAATAGCAATAAGCTGTGATTAACATACATAAATATATAACGGAGATGAGAAACTTAAGATTAGCATGTTTGGATTTTCCAAGGTGAAACAAAACTGTTCTCATTTGCAATTTAACCAAAACCACATATTAATTTTAAGAAAAACTGAAAACACTCTGAAGGACAATCTAGAAAGCTCTGTACTGGCTGGCAAAAAAAAATGTATGCATAAGGTCATTGCAACATGACTTAACTTCTCGAAAACATAACCTTTGGAATCTGCTGTGGTGCCCAAAAAAAAAAAAAAACAACTCAAGTCTACGAGTTATACGTGCAATGAGGAAGTGAAAGACAAAGTCTTATAGGGAGGAAAAAAAAAACAACTTTGAGACTCAGTCCCACTGCTGATACAGCGTCCTCACACCCATCTATTCTCAGACAACAACAGTGTGGAAAAACTTCCTAAACACACTGGTCCCAGCAGAGCCCTCAAAAAGGAAGTAAACATGTATCCAAGTCACAGAGAAAAACTGACTATATCCGGTTTTGAGGGAAGGAGAGAAAATAAAAAAAAAAGCCTCTTGGCAGAGCATTAATGATGGGATTGTGTACCAGTGTCTAACTAACAAACTCTCTTCTCTTCTCCCATCCCTTCCTTTCCTCTCCTCTCCCCTTATCCATCCCTTCCTTTCCTCTCCTCTCCTCATCTCTCCTCCTCTCCTTTCCTCATCGCTCCTACCCTCTTCTCTCTTTTCCACTGTCCAAACCTATCCTGTCCTTTCTTCTCTCCTCTCATCTTCTAAGATGTACATATGAAGCCATTGTCTGCAGAAGTTCACACAATTAGAGTGGAGCACACCATAATAATAGAAGAAATGAAGAAGAAAAGTCCCCTGTACCATGGTGTGATAAAGTCATTACACTTTGATCTCATTTAACAAGTACATGTGTGAATGAAAATTAGTAGGCAGGAACATATCTGGAAGTGGTTGATGGTGTGGTTGGGTGACCTATGAAGTTCGAGACCATCGCTATGCGACATAAATGACATTGTCACTTGATTTTATAAAATATCATGTGACTGTTTATTTCAAGAGACGAGTGGCTAAAAATGTCATTTATACCACATTTCTAAGGTTGCACTGCGCACGCATGATTGTGTTTTTACAAGACATTTGGTTACTGAATGAAAAATATTTCTAGGTGTGAAGTATCACAGATCCTTACACAGGATCTACAGTCCAAAAAAAAAAAATCCAGTCTGCCATTTAGGCATTTATACTTGATGCACTTTATGTGGTTGTCCGACACTGACCTGTGATTGAGTCATTCACTATTTTTATCAAGTCATTTATTAAATTTTCTTTCGCCTCATGTTAAATGTCAGCGTTGCTGCTTACTGTCTCAGATTGTGAACCCTCAACAGAGACAGACAGCTGTGCAGTCTCTCTTGTGTAATGGAGGGCATTTCATCACTCATTTAAGCCTAAACGATGGCAGGCCCCCCCCCCCCCCCCCTTAACTACAGTGTCTTTACATTCACAATGTAGATATTCTTAGAGATACTGTGTCCGTGAAGACACTACATCTAAAAGTGCTTCGGTGTAGCACTGATGTTGAGCTCACAGCCCATTGGCCGACTGTAGCACCATGCCCTGTAAAAGTGGCACTGCGGGAGACCACAGAGACAGAGACTGTTCTGCAGCTCTGTGCCACGCAGGAGGTTCACTGCAGGGCAGCCAGTCAGTACATTTAGAAAGAAAAAAAAACATTCTCTAAGTCAGTTTAAAACTGGCTTTGGTCAAAGTGAAATAGCAATGAATAAACATCTTATCTTCCTCCACTTTGGGCACTATGATTTCTCCTACATGTATATGTTAATACATTACACTAGGATATAAAAATGAGGCTGTATTCAAGTATTGACTATACACAATAGAAGACACAAAATATGATTCATCGTCTGCGTTTGACCCATTCATGAATTAGGAAGAGTGGGTGACACTTTGTTGCAGCCAGGGCAGAGGTGAAGTTTTGGGCGCTTAGTCAACACACTCCACCCCTGCCAGGGTCGCAGTTCAAACCCACAATTCTCTTTCACAAGCCGTTTTTTTTTCCCACCTATATCCGACAAGGAACCAGATTGTGTTGCATAGCATTTGTAATAACCTTTCGCGTTTGTCAATATGTCTAGGAATCACTCTAAAATACTTAATTTGCAACAATAAGGCTAACTAAAGGATAGCATAGGACTTGGTGAGCAACAATAGGATTGTGCTCCCTTTTTAAGTAATGAAAATGACCATGTTAGTAAGTTGTGAGAACATTATATGAGATAGGCTACAATACTATGCACTTTTCCTGGTTAAAAACAGAGAAAAGCAAATGATGCCAGTTTTTTTGCAGCAGGAAAGTTTAAGTATAGCCTGGAGAGGGTTGTGTGGCATTACAGAGTAATAACAGACCAGGCTACACATTTAACACAAAAGAAACATGAGGCATGGGTGCCAACTATGATAAATACATTTAAAAGATGTCTGTTGACGAAAAGCAGAGAATGAATTGTGACCCACGGAAGCGTTACTTTAGAACCCACTCAAAGATACTTACAGTACGCACAAAGCGTAAGCCCCGTTGACACTCTCACTATCTCGCACCAAGAAGCTTCCGTCTCTCCCGGCCCGTGCGAGCAGTTCCTCGGCCGCAGCTCGACTCAGGTCCCGGTGATACCACATCGGCGGCGCGGGCCCCAACGGAGAAACCCCACCAGCACCAGCACCACCCCCGGCCATGGCCACAGCCCTTCACACCGGGTTCAACACTCAAACTGTTTTCCGACTTCTCCAAGTATCCAGTTCGCTTCCAGACGGGAAAAATATACCGGAGACAACAGTTGCGTGAGGCAAAGAAAAGCGGTGAATAAAAGTCGTACACAGTTGACTCTGAAGTCGGAAAAGTCGCAGTCGAGGAGCTATAAAAGGTCTAGAAGTTGAGAGTTGTGGTGCTGTGCTGTTTGTGTGTGTTCCTCCAGTTCCTGAAAGACTCGCCACCCTCCTCTTTCGTTTCCCAGTCCCACGGAAATCAGGGTATGTAAATCCACACTGGACAGTGGGGAAAAGCAGCGGGGGCGTCTCGCATCAAAGTGTACAATGGTGACATAGAAAAACATTTCCGGGAAGGCTTTTCAAAATATAACATGATTAACATAGTATAATAGAAGGATTTTATTACGACAATTAGATGTTTCCGTGTGCATTTCCGGTTTTGTCTCTCTTTGACTACCTTGGGGCAAGGCACTCCTGGGCGAAAGTAGAAAAAAAGAGAAGTGGAAATAAGACAAGATACAAAATTAGATAGAATACAATTAGATAGAATACAAAAATTTCAAGGAATCGAAACGATGTTGGACCATGGGCTGGTGCTACTCGCTGGATGGATATATGAAAACAAATAGTGATGAAAATATAGCAACAGAACGTAAATCTTATTTGTTTACTTTAGGTTAGAGTAACCTGGCATATAATACACTGAAACTATTTCTGGTAGGTATTATTCTGGTAGGCACCACTGGACTTTTTTCAAAATGAAGTAAGGATGATGTGGTTCTCATCTGCTACTCTGAGTTTCCATATGTGACAGCTGCTTTTGTATTATTAAATGTTAGTACAGCTTCAATTGCCCAAAATGAAAAAAGAAACCAACTCCATTGTTCTTTGTGCTTTGTCTGGGTGGAACTTTGCTGGTGCATTTTAATTATGTCGTGTCATACCACTGGTGCGTTACCCAAAGTAGCTATATATAAAAACGAATACTACGTAAATTATTTCACATTAGACCCTCTACCGTGTTATTTATTTCTTCCACCTGTGTGGATTCATGGTTTTAACAACAGCCCACGTGAAGGAGCCGCTTCAGTAATCCCCTTAACAAACTCCAATCCTGTTATGCAATTCATTTCTTGAACAGACCACACACACACACACACACAGACAGACGCAAATACACACATTCACACTCATAACAAACACGCCCTCCGTTTTCCTAAAAGGTGCAACTGTCTGCGTATAAGGCTAACACTTGTAAACCACTGGAAGCATCCCATCCGCTTTATGGACCTTTGCACCTTTTTCTGACTTAGGCCTTTCTTTGGATATTTGTATTGGAGCTCCCCACAAAATGTCTGAATCATGAAATGTGGTGAAATTAACCACATTTTCGTACACACTCAAGGCAATTAAGGAGGAGGGAGCATTGGGCAGGGTAGTGCGTGGGGGGGGAGGGGATCTCACTGTGTTGGCGTGTGTGTGCGTGTGTGTGTGTTTTGACTGTGAGAGAGGCGAAGGGCTTACCAAATGACACCATTTGACATGATGAGACAAAAATAGATACTGTACCTCGTGTTTGACAAATCTGGAGGTCCAAAGGTAATCACAGCCAGACAGGCCGAGGTAAGGCTGCACTAGCTTTGGTTCAGATGGTGCTGAGTGTCTGCTGAGTTTGGGAGCTGTACACCCTTGTATATATATAAAGTAACGCAATTTTGACTATATATTTTCCAATGCATTATTGATGCTTTTTTTCCATTTTCACGCTGTTGTTTCCTAACCATTTATGAGTAATGAATAAGGGGGGGGAAATACAAATTGTGACCAGTTTCCTTGTAAAATACTGCAACACCATGCACTTCTAGTGGTCAATTATGATGAGAGATTTCTTTGGTGGAAATGTTGTCACAGATTGTCACAGAAATGCAGTCACAGATTAAGTTAAAGATTAAAATGTTATTTGACTCCACATTTAAACAAATGTGTCGGATTATGCATAGTGGCATAATTACTGAGCAAATTTAATAAGACACTCGCATGCAGAGGCACTCCTCTTTGCTCAAATATATGTCTTGGAGGGAGAGAAAAGTTGAAAAGTTAAGAGTTCACAGCTGAACATGCAGTCAAGTTGCACGGTCACACACTTTAGAATAAAAACAAAGAAAGAAAGAAAGAAAGAAAGAAAAAAAGCATTAACTGCATCAGTTTATCCTAAAGATAAATTCGTTAGACCTTGACATCTAGGTTAAACGATGGAGACGCAATGCTGTATAGTATATCTATATCAATTTTATTTTTGATAAGCTAAGGTCATGCATAATCTAATCAACCAAGTTAATCCCAAGGCAAAAACACGTGGCATTCACACACACACACACGCAAACACACACACACACAAACACACCCCATAATTACCATGCTCGGTCCGAGTGCAGAAAACCAATTTTCCTTTAGACAGATCCTGGTTCAGATTTACAGTTTCTTGAGGTTGTAAAGAGGTTATTAAGAAGATCCAAGGACTGCACTTAGGAGTACTGCCATCCAAGAGCTCAGCAGCATGTGGTGTGTCGTTTCGTGCCTTATTCGGGGACGCATAAAAACGAGAAAAGAATCGTAGCTGTTGAAGATCTTTGTGAAGGGGTCTTTCATCAATTGCTGCAAGTATATCGGCGTTGTCTGGTGGAATAAGCTACCAAGCACCACGAGAACGGGGGCATCCCCTACCAAGCACCACGAGAACGGGGGCATTAACGGGCGCCTATTCAGAGAGCACCTCCTGTTCTAGCACTTTCCCATACTTCCCTTCTCCTTCTGCAGTTATCTGTACCCTAGTTAAGAAGTCCCACTTTACTAAATGGCTGTCTATTTTCAGGAGCTCCTCGATGTAGCTTAAGTGTTCATTCTTGTTACTAAATGGCTGTCTATTTTCAGGAGTTCCTCGATGAAGTGTTCATTCTTTTTTTTACAAGTCGCTTTGGATAAAAGTGTCTGCTAAATGCACATCCAGTTTATAATACACACCTACAATTTCTTCTAATATTTTTTACACAAAGTGTCACTGCAAGATAACTTTAAAAATGTAGTCAAATGAAGAGAGGACGAGACAGAAAGACATGAAGACAGCTTAAAGTCACACCAACCAGGGTCAGGAGCACAAGACAACACAAGACAATTGTTATCGTGTTTATCGGATTTTATTTTAGGACATCGTCATAGCCAGAGACGCAGCAGCCAGGGAAAGGATTGATGTCAAGGTAAAGCTCGGCATTTGCAGTGCACTGTTGAGGTAATACTCGGCTACTTTTCGGTTGGGATTTTCTCCAGAGAACCACAGCTGCATGCAGCGGCCAGAGGTTTTGCTGTGGGTGGTGTACAAGTAGGAGTTGGACCAAATTTGTTCACACATAGACTTGGGTGTGGGGTAAAAATCAGTCCACTTTCTGCACTTGGCACCAGCAGGGCAGTGATTAAAACCTGAAATGTAGAGATAATGACAGAAAATTGTCAATGCACGTATTTTTGGTGTCCACATACAAATTGATGTGCCTAGGGTGATGCTTAATCTGTTAGCCTGTTAGCCTGGAGGTATACTGGTGAGACATAGTTATCATATTACTAAACACTGCAGTAAAGTAAATACAGTATGTTGTGTTCAGGGTGCAAAGGAATCTTGGAAAATAGAAGGTAATTCCTCTTGGATTCATAATTTAAGCAATCGTTTACCTAAATTGCTGCTGTTTTAATTACTAGTGTATGTGTTTTTATAAAATAAAAAGGGGATGGAAGCATAGACAGACTGTAAAGCACACACATGTGATTCACATTCCACTGCGAATGATGTAATTGTCACACGTTGTCACGTGCAACATTCGCTACATGCTCATGTCACGTGCCATGTTTCGCTTTTCTTCAGCTCTAAATGTGATCTTAATTTACAATACAGCGAATTGAACAATATAGATTAAAACGAATATTTTGCACATAATACAAAAGAAAGATTTTAGGGGAGGAATCAAGATGCTTCACAACCTTTTTACCTTGTGTATTTATGCAAAGTACTTTGTATTCACCTGAATTCCAGTTCCATCCCGTGTGCCAGTCAGACTTGCAGGTGAAATCATCTTTACAGTCCTCCCACCAGCTGTGGCAATCCTCCATACATAGGGGGACATCCACTATGCGCTCCTTGCGCCAGCTCTGATCCACCTGAACAAAAATGTCCAACAATATTTTAGGTTTTTACAGAAGATTTAGTATTTAGTATACAACTTCGTGGAGAGCTTTGTTATTACATCACAACAACAAAAAACACTGGCTGTATGGACCTTTGACATAATGTTTTTTGCTGCCATCTAGTGTTTGGATAAAATTGTAACAAATGCACAGTACACACTTCTTGTATCCAGGGGCCCAAGTGTGGTGAACACTCGTAGAAGCAAGTGTCCTGGATGAAATGCTTCTTGCATTTTGGGCTCATGGAACCACAGTGATTCCAGTTGAAGTTGTACAGGTAGGAGTTGTCACTGTGGGCCTCCTCGCTGGTGTTGGCTGTGCAACATGCATTATTTTTCCAGGGCGCACACTGAAGAAGAACATTAGAACATCAGATCACTTCTATACTTTTAATCTCATCTTAACATTAAGTGAAAGCTAACGTAATGTTATCAAGACACCCAGCGGGGTACATGTCAGCTGTTCTTTGGACTGACTTAATAAATTACCTGATTGTAGAGTAGACCCTCAGGTCCAGGACTTGTTTTGTGGTGCTTGGCGTCCATGCACATGTTGAGTTTGTCCAGTGAAAGTGTGCCACTGGAGAAGGCTAGTATTAAGGTGAATATGGCCCACATGACTCTGTAGGCAGAAGGCATTGTTGTGCATTAAATTAGGTTTTTCAAAAAAATGCTTGAAAAATAAAATATGATTGATGGAATGAGGGTTAACATTTTAAAAGTAGGTGGTTAACATTAAACCTCTAAAACACACGTGTCAAACTCAGGCCCGGTAACGCATAAGCGGATGAAAATGGATGGATGGAACAAGGTTATTAATTTTTTAAATAATTTAACAACCTTTTTGAATACTCTAGAGACATTAGACCCAATAATTCCTGGTCATGTGTTTATAATATTAAGCTTTGGTTGTTCCAGATTCAATGTTTATGCAAAACTAAAGTTTTTTTTCCGTATGAACACATTTTACATTATATATCTGGACAGAAGGGAAAACATGCACAATTGCTGTCAATCTTTCAATAAATATTAAGTTAGGCCCACAACTTTGTTCCAGGTTTTAATTTTGGCCCACTGTGAATGTGGGTTTGACCTACAAAATCTCAGAATGTTTTTAAGAGTCAGAGTTTAGGGAGAATTTAGAAACCAATCCCAACAACTGCGTGTAGACTTCATCAAATCCATTCGTTGTTTTTAATGGTTTTGGTAACAGACAGAAATACAGTCAGAAAGAGCCAAAATACCTGAATATAACAGAATCATTCAAGCCATTGTAAAGAACATTCAACAGAATCATTCAAGCCATTGTAAAGAAAACATGTAAAGAACATTCGTTCTTAATGAACAGTCACGTTACCTTGTTGGATGTCTGTAATGTTCTCTCTGCTGTCCCTGTGGTGATTCTCGTACAAATTGTGTCTTCAGTTATCTTCTATACACTGGATTAGACTAAACTAAAATGAGAAGACACACATCTGTGCATGTGTGTGTCTCTGTGTTTGTAAGTCTCACCAGCCGGTTAATGAAAAATATGCCGGGCCATAAAAAAGCTACAGAGTTTAAAGTCCGACTCTCATGACCATGTGATATATTTTAGTGCGTGGGTCGTATCCTTAGTTAAATTGTATCCTAATCTAAGGGGAGTTTGTCTTATCTCAAGGTCACACACACACAAATGGCACTGTGACCTAAGTGGGATTCTGAAATCTCTGAATTATAATCCATTACAATCACGCCATGTGAGCAAGGGTTGAGTTTCTTTTAAGCAATCAATTTTAAATTCAAATTCAATTAAAAATAAGTTGTGTAGTTGATCATCTATCACGCTTTTTAATTATTTTAAATAATTATATAAAGGAGCAGTACTGTACAACCCTTGTGCAGTACTGCTACAATGTTTTAATGTTTACATATTCAAAATATGTGAAAAACTTCCATAAAGAATATAAAANATATATATATATACATACATATTTATACCTAACCGTTCATTAGTTTGCCACTTTAACGCCAGCGGAACCTTTACGTCGTGACTTCACCAAAGGGGACTTTTTAAAAGAGAACACCAGTGTTTCCGGTTAACTTGTTTTGAATTTTAGTTAGATTTGGAGCGTGGATTTGACGGTTAAAACAGGTACGGGTACATTCTACTTAATTAATTAAACATGGCACTATTTTATATCACATCGTCTGTTAAGAACAACCCCGGACTTTCAATTTTGTTTTACTCGTTTTCTCTGTTGCACAATAAGACAAGAGCCACTGGTAAAATACGTTCCTACACAGCGACACTATTCGGTTATTTAGCTTACTGTGCATCACTGAGTTTAAACGACGCCGTATAACCCTAAGACGTATAACATGAGACAAACATGGGCTTTTTTCAGCTCCCCTCTCCAGATGCGTAGACGCGATTAAAGCGTATTAACATTGTAATTCGGGGTTATTTGCAAGAATGTCGGCTTCCTTATGTTGAAACGCAACGTTTTCTCCGTAGTCCTCATTAATTCCATTTGCAATGTTTAGGTGTTTGCTTTCTTAAGCACAAACGGTTTTAATAGAGACCAAATGTTAAACACTATGACAAACATGACTATGAAAAGCAAACTGTACATTACTTTATAAAGGTGTTTAGAAATACAGAGGCACAAATAATACCTCTGTCTGTACATGTTACAACGTGAGTGACATTGTTTGTTGCGGTTGTGGCAGATATGTCCACGTTATTCCCATCTCTTTTCCCACGAATAACGGAGTCCCTGTGGTTTAACCTGGACCGACCCTGTGTGGACGAGACTGAGCTTCACCAGCAGGAACAGCAGCACCAAACTTGGGTAAACAACAACCCGACAGTCCTTCACTCCATTTACTATTATTGCCCCGTAGTTTGTTCATGGAGTGTTCAGAATTGAATATGACAGCAAGTCTTTGTAAAAAAATGTAAGAGGAATACTGCCTTAAAACATACTTGTATGTATTCTGTTTCGAGGGGACACACGGTTTGCTTTGCTTGTAACTTTTTAAGCTGTAAAAGAAAATCCAGGCCAAAGGGTTGAATACATTTAACTGGATTGCTAGTTAAATGTTAAACAAGTCACTTGTTTAACTACTGTAAGTAGTTTCCATTATCGTGTCATTCCATGTCTACACATCAGTGTCAAGTTTATTGTAGTAATTTACTGAAAGTTGATAGAAAACTTGAAAGATGTTCATCGTCAGTCAGCGGTTAAAACAAACCCATAAAAGCCTGAGGCTTGAGACAGCACATCACCGTCACATGACTGCACGTTGGTCATTACTCTGTACCATGCATGTGATTTTCTGTGCTTTCAGTTGCAGAGCATTGCAGAGAAAGACAACAACTTGATGCCCATTGGGAAACCTATTTTTGAGGTACAACATCCATACTTTTTTGTAATTAATATATAATTAACCTATTTGCACATCTCACAGTGTGAAAGGACCATGACATTTATTAAACTGTGCCAAAAATTCAATTAGGAAACTTGATGGTACTTCAGTTATTCAAACATTTTTTAATGGATTTTAATTTTTTTTTTTCATTTTTAATGATCAATTCATTGTTTACTTTGTAATAGACAAAAAATGCTTAAATGTCTTCACCCACGTTTTAATGATCAATTCATTGTTTACTTTTTACTGTAATAGACAAAAATGCATACATGTCTTCATCCACATCTTCATTTGATGAACTCAGGCAGGGTATGAAGAGGAGGATGAGGAGGACGATGAAGATGAGGAGGACAGCGAGGAAGACTCTGAAGATGAAGAAGACATGCAGGACATGGACGAGATGAATGATTACAATGAGTCCCCAGATGATGGCGAGATTAACGAGGTGAGTCCAGATATATTCTGCGAAAAATGTCTCCACGTTGAAGACATTTTAATTTACTGACATGGATTTCCTAATGGTTTTCTAATCTGACCTTTTCTAGTATAGTGTCAAAAGAATTCCTCCATCCAGATTAGTATTTTATTGTTTTATTGTTTTCAGGTGGACATGGAAGGAGCAGAACAAGACCAAGATCAATGGATGATTTAGGTGAAAAAAAAAAAATTAGCTTTTACCAAGTTTGCTCTTATTTTAAAAACCCAACTCCTGACCCTTGTATCTTGATGTTATTCTTCAGGTTAAAGTTGCATCAAAAGGTTGGACAGTAGATCTGACCAAGGTGATGCACATTGCGTTGATTATGTATGAGTGTTAAAGCTTTTGTGCATGTATGATGTGTATTATTTAATTTCTGGTTATCGACTATCATTACCAGACATCATCGTCGTGACTTCTGTCCTTTAAACTTCAACCTCATAATTTATCACGTGCAATTTCTGCAGAGTCTTCACAAGGCCGATGAAGCAGAAACTATTGTACAGTCAGCTTAAATTGTTTTTACTCGCGATGGAGGCTGTCTAATGTTTTACCACAAAGTCCGACAGTGTTTCACAGCATGTGAAATTATGTTTCTATTGGAATGTGACCAGTGACAGTAGCTTTTTGCGTTGTGTCATGAATGTGAATATTTAGACTGAATGAGAAGAGGCTTCAACTCTTATTAAAGTTATTTTGATAAAAAATATAATATACTGGGTTTTTGTAAACTGCACTGTTGAAGACATTTCTTGATTATAACAATAATCATTTTTAAAAAATGCTGTTTTTTCCAGTTGTTAGATTTTTTTTTTTTTTTTTTTTTTTTGATTCTCAAGAATTAAAAAAAGAAACTCACATTTAGTTGAATGCAAAAGCTCTTCAGGTCTGGTAAAGCAAACTGGGCAGTGTGGTTTTCTAACTTTTATTAGCTGAGAGGAAATATTCACACATGTGAAAAGTGAAAGTAAAAAGAACCAGAAAACAATTTAAACCAAGACTCTTAAATACAGGAGTAAGTCACAGGATTCTAGGTCAGATGTTATAATGTAAGACAAGGTCAGATAATAAAAACAAACTTGTCAAGTTAGCTCCCTCAGCTGAGCTGTGTCACATTTTTTAAACTTTTTTTTTTAAGTAGCTACTGTTAAAATATTAAAAGTTTCTTTCCTAAAACAAAAAAAACAATGACAAATGAAGTATGTTGTGACCAGGTATAAACCCTATAAAATCCCTAAAACCCTATAAGCGATCACAAATAGCTTTAACCCTGAGTTTTACAACTCTTTATTCCCTTTTAAAATGCTCAGTTCTGTAGCAGTGTGATATTCCTGTCCACATTATCTACTTGATTCCCTGGTACACCAGTTCCGCCATCCCATCTCGGATACCTTGGCTGTATTCAAGTGTGGCCCGGTGGATCTTCCACTCATACAGGCCACTCTTGCGGATGTGTCTGAGAAACTTCGGAGCGCCAGGAAACAGCACGTTGTCGGCTACGATCATCGAGCCTTTTCCTAGCAAACCGCAATCCTCCAGTAACTAAAACAAACACACACAAACAGGCAGTCCAGATTACTGTAAAATCAAACCAAAGTATAACGTACAAAATGCAGTTAGAGCTTTAGAAATATTATACAAAAAGTTTTCCATGTTTCGAGGACAGTTTTTATCTAGGGATGTCCGATATTAACTTTTTTACCAATATCCGATATGCTAATAGGCCTGGTAATATATATTTTTTATCTGTACAAACCATCGTATCAGTTGCTAGCACCAGCATTCGGCATAAAATCCCCTGATTATTAAAATATAAATTCATTAAATCGGCTGCGATGCTCTAGTGATTTTCACTTTCACATACAGCTGTTCATCCCCAAAACTATTTTTAGGGCATACGTTATTTGACGAAACCCAGACATTGCGTTGTCCGCATTGCAATTTCGAAAAAAAAAAAAAAAAAAAAGATTCTTATGGATTTTAGTTAATTAATAATATTGGTCGCCCGATATTATTAGACATCCTTATTTTCAACCATTCCAATATGGCGTTCAAGATTTCACCATTTTCACCGGGGGCCACATCAGCAATAGAGTTCCTGTTGAAGGGCCGGTTTTAAATGGAACACTGTATAGATCAGGGGGTCCCCAACTCCTGGTTCGTGGACCAGTACCAGTCCATAGGTCCTTTGGTACCAGCAGTGGGACCCAGTGAAGAAATTCTAATTTACTTCATTCAAAAAAAAAAAAAAAATTCCATTTACTTTCTTTATTTGACGATAATCTGGCAATATTTTAAAATAAAAGTCATTCAGACTTTGATACAAACCGAATAGAGTCTGATTTAGATGTAGCCCCTCCATAACAGACTAATACATGTATCTGCAAAAAACTTTTAATTTCATAGGTTGATCAACTCTGATGCATGGACTTTATTAAATGCTTTTTAAGCTCCCGCGGGCCACACAAAATGGCTTGGCGGGCAGAATTTGGCCCCCGGGCCTTGAGTTTGACACGTATGCTATAGACCATTAGGTCTATGTAGTAACCTGTCGTCGCCTTGGAGGGGAAAGAGGAAGTATTGCCATACTTGTTTTTTTTTCATTTACACTTGAAAACCCCTGTTTGGTATGACATTTTATTGTTACCTGGAGATCAGGGCTGTAGCATTTCTTCCAGTGATCCATAAAGACAAAGTCCAGCCTTTCTATTCCATAGTCCGAACGAAGGCGAGGGATTACCTCATCAGATGGATTCACAATGAGTTCCACCTTTAGGACATGCAATAGATAATGTCATCGATCATCAATGTCATTTACGACTTCTGAGTGAAATGAAATGGCTAGTCGTGATGCGGCGCGGTGTGCAATTATTAAACACAAATCACCATGGTCACAAGAGATAAATCCATATCGCAAATCGGATTCACGTGTAATAAACAAATTCATGGTTTAATATGTTGAAAATGGAGATTAATTTGTTAGATGCTAAACATGGCAGAGGGCAGGGTTCTTTAACCTTACTATTGCCACCAGGGGGCATTCATTGGATTTGGGTGTAAATAATATTTTTTTCTGATTTGAATTTTTCCAGTTTCATTGATATAATAGCCGCTAAGTAGATGTTATAATATGTATTCGAAAGAACATAAATTGACTAAACAGGGATATTAGCTCAGTATCACATAGCATTAGCTTAGTATTATTTCTTTTTATTCTCAAGCATATCTATTTACTTTGCCAATGGTTTATTATTAATAAAACAACAACGCTTACTTCAGCGTTGATCCAGTAAATATTAACTCGACTAAACCTTTATGGCTTGCGTGCATGTCTCCTGATATTTTAAAAACACCAATAACTCCTGCAGTCATTTGTAATTTTCTTAAAATGTTTACATAAACTCGTACCTGTGTTAATGTATGATCGAGCTAGCATACTTTTCTTAAAATGTTTACATAAACTCGTGGCTGACCTGTGTTAATGTATGATCTAGCTAGCATATGCTGTTAAAATGATGTAAATAAATTTACGTTGACGCACCGTGTCATCGTCAAACCCTGCCAGGCGGATGATTTTTTCAGCAATGACAGCATTTCTCTGGTCCATCTCGACACTGTAAAGTCTGGCTCCCAGTGGCAGAGCTCGTGCAATTCGTATGGTGCTGTACGCGCAGTGTGTCCCTAGCTCCAGCACAGTCAGAGGACTCTGCTCCACCAGTAGCCGGTCCAGGATTTTCCCTAACCAGACACACAAACTCCCATCAGAACGTGTTGAATGGGTTTTTACTGTGCAGTAAAAATGTCACCTCACCTTTTTTAGGCCCAATGTTGCTGATGAACTCCACCTTGCTGCACCATGCATCAAAGGCGTCCAGGATGCTCTCAGGGTCTCCTGGTGTAGCCTGAGTGAGAACGTACTGGAAGGCCCGCTCCTCTCGACTCAGACCAGTGACGCAGTCCTTCCATATTCTGACCAGGAAGGCTCGATAGAACAGCACAAAGTAGAACCGGTACCTGATGATCAGCGTCAGCAGGAGGGGGAGAAAAGCCAGAGCAATGGCAGGAGACACCATCCTGACTCATGGAGACAACGAGACACTCAAATGAAGTACTGTATATTCTCACAGTTCACCTTAAACCAGTGGTTCTCAAATGTTTTCTGTCATGCCTTCCCTTGGAGACAGAAACGTTTTTTGAGAACCTGATAACATGTTTTAGGTTATCAGGTTAAATTATTATTAATTTTAATTAATTATTAATAATACAATAATTATTAATAATATTATATGAATATAATATTATAATATTAATATATATAATATATATTATAATAATATATATATATAATATTATAATATTAATTATATATTATTAATAATATAATAATAATAATTACAATTAATAATTAATTTAATTATTATTAAATTAAATTGAACATTATGTTTTATGTTTTATCTGTACAGACCGCTGTGTGAGTTGCTGCCCCCTAGTGACTGGAGGCTTGTTATCATTTAAGCATTACAGCAGTGTCCAGCGTGCCATAACCACTTATGTCCAGAGTGCCATATTCCATTGGAAGCACCTCTCCCCTCCCTCTCCCCCCCAACATCTCACACCTCCCCCCCCTACAATTTGAGAAGTACTGCCTTAAACACAAAAATCCACAAAACATTGGTTCTTACAGATATGGTTTTGACTATTTGTCACGAAACTCAAATCAAAAAGCCAAGGGCCTCAACATAAACTCTCTGTGAAATTTGTATGTTGCCAAACTGCTGCATTAATCTCCATCCATCCATCCATCCATCCATTTTCATCTGCTTATTGGTTACTGGGTCACAGCGGCAGCAGTCTCCATGACCGCCACCCAAATCACACTGCACCGTACCAACCCCCCTGAACCTTCCTGCAGGTGGTGAGTCCACTGGAAGGTACCAACTGCCCTAACCGGGATTCAAACTTGCCCAGGAGGTGAACCCTGGGGTTCAAAATGCTAATTAATTCTGGAAAAAAACTTCCACAGAATAACTTTGCTGGGCCAAAGCGCCACAAAATGCTAATATTTTTTCTTGTTAAAACATTTTTATTTAACCAAACTTTTGAGTGTTAATTAACCAAAAACAAGGTAAATCCTTTTCTTCGGCCCCTAAAAAAACCCATGTAATTAGCAAGTACCAGCGTTGTATTGCTATAACCATTACTAGAAAGTGACCATAGCACATTACCCTCCTCATATATCTCTTTATTTACCTTTATAAACAGAAAGACTCACCTGTTTTCTCAACTGTGAATGGACGTAGGTAATGTCTTCAGCTGAGCCCAGAGCTAAAAGACTCGAGTCGTGTGTGTGTTTCCGGTGAGTGTCGAGTTGGAGAGAAGGTACGAGACCTGGGCATACCGTATGAATAATTCACTGAACAGGATGTGCATGTGAGTGAAATTATTTTGTTATTTCATTTCAGAAAGAGCTACAGATGGCACCAGTGGCCCTGGTATGGTATTAATACCTTTCATTTCTTTAAACAGTTTTCACAAGGTTTGACAGCAAGATGGAAAGCTAAAGGGAGAGATAGAGAGGTGAGAGAGAAAGAGAGAGAGAGAGAGTAGAGAGAAAAGGATATTTGATATGTCAAGTAAACAGCAGCAGCTGTGTGTCTGCGGGTTAGGGGAGTCTCATTTCCTTCACCGACTCATGATGACACAAGCTGGAAAAGCTGTAAATGAACAGGACACTGTAACGATTATTATTGTTCAATGCGTGACACGTTTTGAATGTTTTGGAGTGAAGTTTTAAATTTGTTTGTTCTTACCTAAAAATTCCTCAGATTAAGATTATGATTGAGGGTTGATACTGACGCTCCCCTTCCCAAAAAAAAAACAACTTCACTTTGGTTTGGTTTTGGAACTGCGGTGACTTCTGAGATGCAACAATGTCTTAAAAAAAATACAGACCACGGCCCACTTTTAGAAGTTGTTACATGGGATCTCCAAACACTTTTTTGGTGCGGTATATTGCAGAGGCGGGACCAAGTCATTGCTTTGCAAGTCACAAGCAAGTCTCAAGTCTTTGCACTCAAGTCCGAATCAAGTCTCAAGTCAAAATAGGCAAAGTCTGAATCGAATCCAAGTCAAGACTGAAAAGTGTCAAGTCAAGTCCCAAGTCCTGCCGTTTCTGTTTCGAGTCCTTTCGAGTCCTTCCACTCACTGCCACTCATTTTTTTGTTGACCATCTCGTAGTTTTTATATCCGAACAACACGATCTTTGGTATCATTTTCTCTAACCCGCGCATTGTTCGACAGCTCTTTCTCATTGGTTGTCCCGCAATTTGATTGGCTCGATATTATCGTGTCAAAACAACGTGGGTCTAATTTGATTGGATGTTGTGCCGGTTTTGGAGAAAGTATCAAGTCTTGTCGAGTCAAAGGGCTCGAGTCCAAGTGAAGTCACGAGTCATTGATGTTAAAAGTCCAAGTCGAGTTCCAAGTCTCTTTACGTTTTGTCAAGTCGAGTCTAAAGTCATCAAATTGATGACTCGAGTCTGACTCGAGTCCAAGTCATGAGACTCGAGTCCACACCTCTGGTATATTGTAAACATCAGGACACAGTAATCGCTAAATTGTGTTTTTTTATTCAACAAACATGTAATCTAGTCAATTGTGTTTCAAAGTATAACAATCAAAGTGTTTAGATAGCCCTAAAATACAAGAAAATCGTACAAATACCAAAAACCGTCAGGCGTGGGCAAACTTTGGGACTCGCGGGCCACAAATGGAATCCTAACATTTGACATGGTGGCCGGGTCAGGAGCAGATAGATGGAGCGTTGGTGTGACGATAAATGACATGTAATAAATGTCATGCATAAAGGATAACATGCTAAAATGCTTTTGGCCTTCTCTATGCCATCTATTGGGGAAATGTGGGCATTGCAAGGAAAAGGCAGAAGTGTAATGATAATATAAATTAATAACGCAAATGTGGACAAGTTTGGTGGGCCAGATTAAAAGGCCAAACAGGCCGCATCTGGCAGTTTGCCCATGCCTGCTCTATGTACATACATTTACAGAACAAAATACACTGTAGTTCCACATTTGATACAACAGCCTCTGTGTGCTACAAGTAGAAGCAAAAAAGTTTAGCAAGTTGATGAAACCGTGTTTCGAACTGTGATTAAAATTTATTTTTTTAAAGTTTTAACTATAGTGATTATGGAATTTTTAAAAAAAATTTTTTAAAGTCATTGCTTCTGTTGTCTTCTTTTGCTCATTCTCTGGAGTTTTTCAAGAGTTCCCGTTCAAAGAAGCCAAGCAAAACTACACCACTGGACAAGGCTTTTTAAGGAGCGCTCGGATGAATTTCTTTAATTCTTTGTCCTCTCTGGTCCATCGCACCAATCGAGTCACCACCAGCCTTCCCTCTTCCGCCTGAGCCAGGGCCAGGTACCATCCACTATATACCCCATCTCCATCCTTTCCTCCTTTGGCTGTTTCTTCATCCGTCTGTTTCTCTTCCGGGTCTCCGTTTTTGTTACTGTCCGTTGAGTCCAAACCAGGACAAGTACAGAGGCCTCCTTCCTGCAGCCACAAAGCATTGTGCGCCATTGCACCTCCGATCCCTTCGGCCCTCTCGGCGCCCCCCCCTGCCCATCTCAGGATGCGGCTGCGGGCCATAGGCACGAGCTGACGGTCCCCTCCCACTGTCGACACGCTGCCTAGACGCATCTTAAACGCTGTGACAGAGACAGAGAGGGCAGTTGAGGCGTCATTTCAGACACTGTCATCACTCTCCCCGGGTGATTAGATTCTTCTTGGAATTTAATTATTCTTCATTTACATTATCTACATCCGTTCTTACCATATGAACTGCGGCAAAAGTTTTCCTGAATGTCGGCCTCTCCTTCAGCAGCCAAACTGCAAGCATCACAGATGACACTACCTGGAAGATAAAAAACAAGGGGGTTATAAAAAATTAGTATCTGACAAGAGCGAACAGAAGTTCTGGCATGACACAGTATTTCGCGAATTAATTCCGGATAAAAAAGGGAGTGCCAGTTCTTCTGAAGAGAGATTGTAGGAAGTACAACAGTGTATACAGTCAGTGTTAGTGCTGGGAACCATCCTGGGACACACTCTCACTCAGGAGATTTTTTTATGCACAACAAAGCTGAGCGGAAATAGTAATTGAGTACTGCTACTACTAGTTTAGGCTTGTCCTTTAATAATAATAATAATTTTAACTTTATTGATCCCACAATTGAGAAATTCTTGTGTTAACAGCAGTTATCTTGTGTTTTTTTTTTTGACACAATCCACAATTTGACCTAAAATTGAACAAGGGCGCCAGGTTAGGAGCAGACAGATGAAGCATTCGTGTGAACTAAGATAAATGAAGTGTAAACCGTCATGCATAAAGTCTTAAATGCTAAAATGCTTTTGTCATTTCCGCCATCTATTGGGGAAACGTGGGTATTGCAGGGAAAAGGCAGAAAGAAGACAGTTTTATTTTTACCTTATTTTGTTACAATGGCAAGGGGGGCCCAGAGGTCGAGGAATATTTATATCAACAAAAAATGTAAGATTTTTTGTTGTCACTGAACAGTCCTGTGTCAGTTATAGTACTAACTAACCATAAGTACTAACATTCAGGTGCAAAAAAAAAATAACTGTAGATAGTAGTATAAAGAAGTAGAAATAAATACAACAAGGCTAATGGCACATTGTTGAACATAGAGAGGTTGTCAGTGGACGTCCCTGTTGACAGATTTTTAGAAAAGAACAAAGTATTGCCGCATAAGTCACTTGATTATTCGAAAATGAGTTATTAAGAAAATGCAGATGAGTTCTTGTATCCGGACCTTCACTAAATAGTTTATACTTTTAAATGGAGTTGAGGAATCAAACACTGAAAAATATTTAGTTTTACGAAAAAAAAAATAATCAAAAAGTTAGACCGGTTTTTCGATATACCAAAATCGTTTGTCCACTGACCTTTGAGCGCCTCCTCCTGCCTAATGTCCTCTGCTGTCCATCCATCCTGCTCTCCGATTCCCGGGATGCAAAGCTCGGTTCCACCCGGGAACCGACTGCAATTGAACATCTCTGGCCACGGGAACCCAAAAGCGCTCATCACAGGCCCGCACCCGTCCCGCACCGCTTCGCACAAGCTCTTGCAGGGACTGAGCGGGCCGTTGAGCTCGGGCAGACACACGGGAGCGAAGAGAGAGCACAGAAACTTCTTGGTGTCCCGGTGGCAGAGCTTAGAGATCAGGGGCAGCCAGGCGGCCGACTGCTGCTGGGCCTCCCGCAGAGTGTCGTGGCCCAGCAAATTGGGGATCCGCATGTTCCTGTAGCCGATACCGTGGCACAGGGACAGGGTGCTCGGGATCGGTTTGCATACCGAACGGACCGAGGAACTGAAGCCGAGCGACGGCGGACCGAGCTGGTCCGGAACCACTGGGTCAGAAGTGCAGGGGTCTCCGAGCAAGAGCAGCAGGAGGTGCACGACAACAAAGAGCACACTCATTGTTCTCAGTCGGTAGATCTCGTCAAGTCAAGAGAACCTGCTGCTCCTGCTGCCTCTGAATGAACGCTCTGTCTGGACTTGACCGACCTGGAGGTGTAAACAAAGGGGTGTGTAGAGGAACCTTGGGGTAAATGAGAGGCCAGGCGCCTCCCAGTCATCGCCCCCTACACCTCATCAGACTGGCGTCTGCCTCCACCAGGGCCTCCACACACCTCCACACTCCAGTGTCAACGAGGGTCACAGACTCAAAACTTGTGAGCTGTTAGTATTTTAAGGCAATTACAACATTCATAAAAGATTTAACCTTCAATATATAAAATAGATATATAGATAGATAGAACTTTATTAATCCCTCAAAAGTCAGGTTCGGGAAATGAATGTTCCAGAAGAGTCGATAAAATACAAACAAGAGTAGTAGTAGTAGTAGTAAATAATAATTGTCGTTGTATGTGGTGTTGTTATTGCAATCTATATTATTCAATTGAATTAGAATGATGTATACTAAAGTATACCACATTATCTCTATATATGTATATGTTTATATAAGAAAAAAATATAATTATAATATATATATTGTTATGTGAACCTGTTAACCTGTTATACCTGTTATAGTTTAAATACATAAACAGTTTAAATAGATTATTGATAAACAGTTAGATATATAGCAGTTGCTATAGATATATTATTAGATAGGCTAGAGATTAGTTATACATAAACATATGTACATATATAGACACACATATATATACAGTATATTGTACACACCTAAACACACACTTACATATTTTCCATATGACCTATGTAAAATGTTACATTTTTAGAAATTCCCCCAAGACAAATGTTAACGTGAACCTAAATATTGGTTTCTGCCCATTTTAAATGGTGTTATTATTCTAATTTTACAGTAAAAATGATGCACAAAGTTTTACCGTTTTGATTTTTGTTACATTTACTGTAACTCTACTCGACGTTAACTGCTCTGTCATCATCCTCAGCCTGAGGGTGTAAACAGAGACTTTTATCTTCAACAGCACAGACAGACACAACAAGTCTTATCCTGTTTCCGTCTCTTGCTGAAGTCTGAGAGCTCACACTTGATCAACACCTTTAAATGCCACCTTAATCCAAAAGTGTTTCTATTCACACCTGGTTTTATATCTAAATAATTGGAGATAATTAAAAAATATTTTTTTATTGGAAATTGCTTTTTCATTGATAAAATAAACACATATTTTTTTCCCTATCCATTCCTTTCCATATTAGAAGGAAATAAGTAGCATTTTCACGTTTTTCCTTTAAAACACAATTATTTTGTCAATTCAAACATTAGCATTAACTTCTGTGTGCGTGTTCGTAGGTGCCATATTTTCTTTAATTACTGTTTGTATTATATTTTACCTTTTTAAATCGGCATTTTTATTGACTTTTTAAAACGTCGAAAAAACGTTTTTTTCCCCCTAACTTTAATCTCAGAATTACACGTTTTCTCGCAGAACGTAATATGGTCTTTTCAATCAACTTCATTATTGCGCAATTTAAGTCAGGATTTGGAGTTCCGCAGAGATAAGAGAGATTTTTAGGAGAACAGAAAACAATAAATACTCTACGTATTTATAATAGTGTAATGAATGTAAAATGAAGTACGTTTTCCCATATCACGTGACGGGGAACAGTCACCGGAAATGCTCTCTGTGTTGTTTCACCACAGCTGCTGTCATGTGATAGCTGTTCTGCTGGTCACAGTGGCTTCCTTCTACCTTTCGGATGAGGCCGGGCTAAATCACCCAGAGGACGCATTTTATGATTGTCTCGAAGGATAAACGTTTGAGACGGAGACCAGGGAAGCTGTGACTGTGTAGCTCCGGCCATTGGACGCTGCCATGGGCTGTTGTTGCAGCAACGAGGGCGAGCCCACAGAGGTTAGCTGTTAGCTGCTAGGTGGCTAAAAGTGTCTCGATAAATTCAGGACAGAGGGTTCGTGAAAGGTTCATTGCGAAATAATTTCCATGGCGGGCCTGTGCAATTTATTTTTTTCCCCCAAAATTTGGGATAAGAAACATTTCACTGTAAATAGGCATTGTTGTTTGTTTTTGTAAGAGCGAGGTTAGTTTGTGTACATCACCTGCTAACTAGCCGTAGCTCTGGTCCAGGCCTGATGTAAAACTGTCTTTGGAGTTAGAATCAAAAGGAAACAAAGATTCAAGCTCAAAAGAGCAGCCCACGTGACTGTTCAGAATAGAAATCCCCAAACTATAACTTTTGTATTATCAGAACATGTTAGACGTGGTATATTTAACTAATGTCGTGCCTTAAGAAATACTGTTTTTGAAGACTAACCTAAACTGCAAAGTATTCAGTGTTAGTTTTAGCAAACATGACATCTTAGGGATGTTTTCCTCGTCTCGGCATAATCAGTTATAACAGGAAGTCACTGAGACAGATTTGTGTTGTTATTTTTGTTTACTCTCAACTGTTCAGGCGGTTAGATGTGGTTCTTTTATGGTTTAGATGTCGAATTCTGTCACTGATAATTTATTATAACATTATAACAGATTTTTCATAAAAAAAAAGATTGTAGTGTAAATTATTCTGTCACTGATAATTTATTATAACAGATTTTTCATTAAAAAAAAGATTGTAGTGTAAATTGTTAACAACTCAATGAGATTTTTTTTTTAATCTTTTGGGTACTGGTTTTCATGCATGATTAAGGATTGCATGTATAAACACTACACACTGACTGATATGCACATTACAAATGACTTACTCCGCTGACACTGCCTCAACCACTGCAGAGTTTTAACACTGTTTGCTTCTGAGAAGAGATGCTCCAAAGCTATGCACTATTTTCTTGGCATGCCACTGGCAACCTTTTCCATATTCTGTGACATATTTTATGCCACTGGCAACCTTTTCCATATTCTTTGACATATCTTTTTATTACAGTTTAGCTTTTCATGTCGTCGAGAGCTTGAATTTGCATTGTGGAATTCAATCAAATGTATTTTGTAATCTACAGAAACCTTTGACACTGTGTAAAGAGAACTAGAAATGATTATTGAATCACACTGAGTCACAAGACAGCAAAATGGCCTAGGGTAGATTTATTGTATTTCAGAAATGAAAGTCAGTATGTAACTGTATATGTGAAACTAATGGGATTTGAATGAGCTTCCTCATTCTGACTGAACTCTTCTCTTGACTCCCGTCCAAAAGCCACTAATCCCTAATGCCATCCCCCACCCCAACCCGGTCAGCAAACCTCCAAATGGGACCGACTGGATCACCACCAATGTCCCCTCTGCGCGTACAGATGAACAGGCTCTTCTCACATCAATTCTTCACAAGACGGCACAGTAGGACAAAGTCAAGTTGTGTTCTGAGATTAGAAAGCAGCAGATCGAGTTTTTCCTCCAGTGAACCTTGCTGTTGTCATTCTCTTCCAGGAATATTATAGACGTGTCAGCAGCTGACTCGGTCATGATGGAGCAGCATGAGTACATGGACAAGGCTCGGCAGTACAGGTCTGTGGGCAAGCTGTTGCAGTAGTGGTTGTGAAAGGATGTTGCACCTCTGCTGAACTTGTGTTGTTTTTGTTTCCGCTGTGTTGCATAAAGGCGGGTCATTGTCTAAAAAGCAAAAAAAATCCAACAACGTTTTGATTAAACAATTACACAGTTTGGAAGCAAAAATTCTCACAGTTAAAGTATGGAGTTGGTGATGTCATGATACAGGGATGTTTTTCCACATCATAGAGTAGGAGCAAGTATCATTAGGAAGGAGGAGGTACCATTAAGAAGAAACTCCAGCATCATGCAGTTCCATCTGGAATAAGCAAATCATCCAACCTCTGTCAAGGTGGCCTTGACAAAAGCTATTGGTCTTATGGCGCGTTCTAGAAAACTGAAGTTTTTAAACCTCAGACAAGGAAAAATGCACTGGAATGTCACCCAAAACTGAAGTTTTTAAACCTCAGACAAGATGCAAACATCTTGCAAAATGCACTGGAATGTCACCCGATGTTGAAGGTTCTACTAGAAAACGGGAAAGCAAATTGGTTTCTCCCACTCCTGCGACTTTAAACAGGAATACAAATGTAGACATTTCTACATAAACAATCCAGGTATTAAAATATTGCGGTTAGCAATGTGTTTTTTTAAATTTAGGTTTGACTTTTTTCCGCCTGAAACGCTGTGAGCTCACACCGAGAACACTGCCAAGTGGAAAAAGCCAGATATCCCGGTTTTCTGAAATTCAGCATTAAATATTAGAGGTGGTGCCTCCGGAGCAAACTGCATTAAATAGTAGTCCATCAACACTAGCAACAATATTCTTATCTCTCTCTTTTGTTTTCCCAGCACAAAGCTGGCCATGTTGAGCAACACTCTATCCCAGAAGAAACCCCTCACGCTGCCGTCCCTCACCAGTCAGCCCCACCAAG